TGCACCTCGGGGACCTTGGTGGCGGGGGGCTCCACCCTGCGGTGGGCTGCCTCCTGAGGCTTGACGATGGTGATCTCCGTCCTGCGAGGGGCTGGCTCGGGCGTCTTGTGGCCCAGCACCTCGGCCCTCTTGAGCCCAAACCGGGACGGCCCCGGGACGGCGTTCTCCACCTGCTTGGACGAGATGTCGATGGACAGCTCGGTGCGCCGCGACATGGGCTCGGCCGCCTTGGGCCCCGCGAGCTCCACCCTCCGCAGGGAGGGCTTCGGGGAGCGCTGGCTCAGGGGGTCTGCATGGCGGGCCACGGCCTCTGAGTTTTTCACACCCAGGTCCTGGAACTTCTGGGTGGAGCTGGCCACAGTGGCCCGGAGCAGGGGCGTCTGGACTCTCCGAGGTGGGGTGGAGTTCGGCGTCTCGACCTCCTCGACCTCAAAAGATCTTTTCAAGGCTGAAAAACAAAGAGAAGAGGATGAGGTGGGTGGACGGTGTGATTCCTGCCGATGACGCTCAGCGGACGGTGCTGGCCCAGACGCTCCGGCCAGGGCCGACCACTCGGCTCCTCTCTCCCAGGTACAACACACACAGAACGTTCTGGCTCAGGAACTTTGATTTCTGTCTTGCCGTGGCCTCCTCACCTCCACCTAAGACACAACCCAGACACTGTCAGCAAACACACCACCGCTGCAGGGAAGGCCACAACCCAAAGTCGTACCCACCAGCGACAATGCCTCAGGAACATCCTATCAGTGGTATGGCCGACGGCTGACACGGGAAATTCTGTACGCAGGCCCTGGGCCTGCTCCCCCCAATAACCCTGGGACAGCATTCCTTGGAGCAGATGGGGAAACTGAGGCGCGGGGTGCTAGGACACGTGATGGTGCGCAGAGTAGGATGTGGAGCCCGGCTGGGCAGGGCCTGTCTGACAACCATCAGAGCTGGTCATCCAGTTCCCCAGACTGAGTCCACCCTGACCCTCTCAGTCCTCACCCTCTCTAGGCTTCCCCCCCTACACTACTGGGCACGTGGGCACGCTGGCCACCCGATCCTGCCCTACTCGGAGCTGTGGGGACAGCGCCAGGGAAGCCAGCATCCTACAGTCCCTGGGACCACGTTCCAAACAAGAGCCGGCTACTCCAGGCTAGGAGCTTCAGGGCAGGAGGGACGACCACTGGCAGCATGCTCGCCACCTCTCTGCAGCCCTCGCGCTACCCAGAGCCCGGAATCTCCTGAGCCCCCAGCATTGCCTGCTCCTGCCCACAGGAGAAAGGGCCAAAGCTGGGCCCCACCCCAGTGACAGCTCTCTAGGGCCATTTTCAGCAGCACCCCACCCACCCCCAGGTCCCCTGTCCTCCAAATGCCAACAAGATTTCCTCTGGAAGACCTGGAAGAACGTGCTCCAATGCACTGGGGTGGGAGGCAGGGCCTGACCTGACTCCAGCTTCCCAGACATGGCACTCATATGGGGACCCCTCCCTAAGCCCTGGGTGCCCCTCCTTCCTGGTAGACCCAGAAACAAATCTTGGGCCACTGTGTTCAATGGGTCCCAGAGGCCAGGTAGGGGCCATGAAGGTCTGCCTGGTGGCAGGGGTGGCTAGCTGGGACCATGGGTCCAGGGAGTGGCCAGGGCTACAGAGCCTGTCCCAAGAGGCACCTGGCACTCAGCTCCGTCACCTGCAGGAGTGCAGGCCAGATGTGGCCAGAGCTCCTGAGCTCTTGAGCCTGGAAGTCTGGATTTGGGGGTGTCAACTCCAGAACGTTAAACTCTGGCGCAGAGCAAGCCAAGGCCTTTGAAACACCGTGTCGTCCCACGGCCAACGGGGGGCCTTCGCCACGGCTCTGCCATGTGCCCAGGTGTTGTCATCCAGCACCAGCCCACCCCCGTCCTGCGCTCCCAGAGAGCGGGGTCACCAGGACAGCGACTGCCCAGTTGATCTCGGGGTTGGCACCGCTGTCCTTGATGGAGGCCATGGCACCTGCATGGAGCACTAGGACCCTGAGGAGTCGGCCCATCCAGGGCCATCCTGGGCCATCCCTCTTAGCTAGAATGTGGGGAAGGAGGTGCCATGTCCCGCCCCCACCAGCAGCCCCCTCAGTCTCCCCATTTGTGAAGCAAGGGCCCCACAAAGCCAGGCTCCGTCCTGCCTCCTCCTACAGCCTGCCCTGGCCCTGCCCTGCAGTCCACGCCACTCCCTCCCCGTGCCATCCTGGCCACACCGTGACTGCTGAGGTGGCCTCGGGGCTGTGGCTGGGCTCCCTGGGAAGGGCTGATTGACCTCTAAGCCATGAGGACCACTAAGGACCGTCCCTTCACTGTCCCTGGTGTTTCTAGAAGACTCTCCAGTGGTGGGATTGCAGGTGGGCATGGAACCTTCCAGGAGCCCCCAGAGCGGGGGGGCCTCAGTGGCAGGGAAGTCCTGGGTCTTCGCTCCCTCCTTGGCCTGAGAAGCACCACTTCTTTCCAGGGGCCCACAGTGTCCCCAGATGTGGCTGTGGCCTTACTTGGAACAGGGTCCTTTTAAATGGCCTTCAGGATGACACTACCCTGGACTGAGGAGGGGCTCTAGTCTAACAACGGTGTCCTCACAGAGAACAGGAGAAAAACAGAGAACAGACAGGGGTGATGCTGCCCGGAGCTCCCGAGGCTGCGAGGGCAGGAAGGGCCTCCCCAGAGCCTTCAGAGGGACCGGGGCCCTGCCACACCTCCACCTCCTACTCTGGCCTCCGGATCTGTGGGAGAGGAAAGCCGGGCCACTCAGCCCCCCCGTCCCTGCGAATGCTGCGGACACGAGCCCAGGGGGCCGCGGGAAAGATGACAGCTGAACAGCGAGGTGGTCGGTGCCTTGCAGGGTATCACTCACTGTCCACCCGGGTCCAACCCAGCCCAACCACACTCCACAGTGGCCAAACGTGAGCCCAGGGAGGCGAGGCGAGGACCCAGAGCCCAGGGAGAGGGCTGCCTCCTCTCCCCTCTCCTGGAATCACAGAAACCCCAGATGGTGGGAGAAGGCGTCAGGGGAATAACATCACTCCAGATTCACGCTGGAATATTTGGCAATGAAGCAAGACCATTCCCTAAGGCAGGCTTTACAAGGGAGGCCGGGTGCAGCTGCCTCCCACAGAGGACATGGCGAGGGGCACCCCGCTGGGGAGTCAGGAGCACGCTTGGTCCAAGGCTGGCAGCAGAGGCCTCTCGCCTCCTCCCCAGCAGTCCTGAAAATGCACCCAGGTCACGATGTCACTCAGAGACCGCCCCCTTCCCCCCTTCCCTTCCCAACGCTAAAACCTCCCCAGAGACACCCCCAGTCGGCAGGGAGTCCTCACTTTACTCGTCTTCCCTAGGAGCTAGGGCAGCAAGGGGTGCGTGGCCACAGAGGCCAACGAGGGTGTTCATGCCCTTGTCCACATGCAGATTCGAGACGCCCAGGTGACCACACATCAGATCCAGGGCGACAGGGCTGGCAAGTGGCTACTCACTGGCCTGGGGCATGAGGGGGGCAGCTCTGGGTGGCCTCCATCTGTCTGCAAGGCGTTAACCCAACCCCGGGCAAGGACAGAGCCCCGTGGACACCCCCACTGTGGACTGCAGCACGGCACCAGGCAATCTGGGCAGACTACATCAGGAAGGCCCCCCAGAAGCGGGGGTGCCCACCTTTGCCAGCCTTCCCGCCCCCCTGTGAATTCCAGCCTCCCCCAAAGCTGGGGTTGGCCTTCAACCCCATCTGCTCCTGAAGCCTCCCCGGCCCTCCTCTGGGCACCAAGGCCTGGGACGGTCTGTGCGCTGTGGCCCACAGCGATCCACTGGGATCCGCCCGGAAATCGCAGAAGCACAGGGAGGCCGGTGAAGAGGACGCCCGCCACACTGAGTCGCAAACGCCGGGAACCGCTCGGTGCACGCTCTCCTAAGCCCACATGCCGAAACCCTGCACAGTCATCGAAATCGCGTCTTTAGAGATGAGAAATGCTGAGAGTATTAAGTAAAAATAGCAGGATGCAAGATGCATACCAAGATCCTAATTCCATTCCACAGACACACGTGCAGTTTGCACGCATACGCGCACACGCATGCTCACAGCTCACACCCTTGCAGAAAACGACTGTCTCTGGATGGAATCGCAGTGTTTTGCTTTCCTGTTTGGCTCTTATCCACCTCCACTAAGTGGGGGTCCCTTCATGTTCTCAGGAGTTAAAGCCATCAGCACCATTTCAGGCCTACTCCTTAGCCCAGTGTTGAAGGGAACCAGATCTCCCACAGGTCTACCATGGGTTCCAATCCTGGCCTCGACAAGCTTGAAAAACGCATGGGATGTATGTGCCCCAAATCTCAACAAGATACGGAAATAGGGCATGAGCACGCCCCACTGGGTGCCTTATTCCTTCACACACACCCCAGTTCCATCTCTCTCCGGCTAGTGTATATGTCCTCTGGCAACTGAAGAAAAAACCACCTTGGTGCGAACAAGCCGAAGGCGGTAAATAACTCTGCCTGCTGGCCCCACTCCTGGAAAAAGACTTCACAGCCCACTTCTGTCCCAAAGCCCGGGACGGACACACAACCCCTCCTGTCCACCAAACACCGATGGTCTCTCCGGGCGCGGCGGCCACACAGAGGCCTGTGTCCCCTCCAGATCTAGCCCTTCCCACTGTGCGCCTGGGGGCTGAAGCAGGAGCAGCCTGGCCTGGGGCTGTCAGGGAGGTGTATGGGCACACAGGGACCGAGGGCAGGGTCCCCACTGCACCTCTCCCAGCTCCTCCTGGTGCACAGGTCGGGTCTCAGTCTGGGGAGAGGACACCAGAAAGTCACAAAGCCCTGCTCCAGCCTGAGACAAACGCCACACTAAGTAATGCTGGATCCCAAGGTCAAAATGAGCCCATGGCGGCTCCCTCTGCCTGGCCAAACCCTGAGCTCAGGCTCCAGGAAGATCGCAGACCCTAGTCGGACAGAGTGGCTGACGAGTAGCAGCAAAGCAGATCTGTCCGAGGAAGGGCAGCACCCAGGGCTGGGGGAGGAGGTGCCTCCTGTGCCTGCCCTGAGCCTGCACCGAAAGGCCGCAGGAACACCCCGCACGGTGGGAGACAGGGCCCACGCCACAGCCCAAGGCAAGGCCTTGGCCTAGATCCTGGGCCTGTGTAGCTGGGGAGGGGGCAGTTGGGCAGGGCCTCAGCTTGGCAGGACAGAACCAGCTGCAAGGGTTCGACTCCTTACTTCTCTCGGATCAGCCAATGGAAGGTCCCTCCCCACTGCAGCCCTCAGGGCAGACAGAACACCCAGGTCACTAAGTGACAAATCCTTCAAAGGAAAGGAGTTGAGAAAGTCACAAAAGCAGGCCTGGGTCTGGAAACAGGGTGCCCAGCAGAGCTGGCAGGCAGGGCAGGGGCAGGCCCAGGGCAGAGCAGACCTAAGGCCCCATGCTGGAGGATGTGCTGCAGCCTCTACGTAAGCCGCGCTCC